AACATTACTATTGTCCTAACTTTTTGTTGAAAATTTAGGTTAGACCCTTTACATCGTTATTGTTTATAAACATTACTATTGTCCTAACTTTTTGTTGAAAATTTAGGTTAGACCCTTTACATCGTTATTGTTTATAAACATTACTATTGTCCTGACTTTTTGTTGAAAATTTAGGTTAGACCTTTTACATCGTTATTGTTTACAAACATTACTGTTGTCCTAACTTTTTGTTGAAAATTTAGGTTAGACCCTTGACATCGTTATTGTTTATAAACATTACTGTTGTCCTAACTTTTATTGCATTTTAGGTTAGATCCTTAAGAAGAAATATATTATGTTTAAGTACTGATAAACACCTGACCAAGGTATTTTAAAATACTGGTTATTTATAAGTTTTGTTCGGAGGCTTAGACGAATAAACTTATAGTGCAGTAAAGTTAAATAAGGAATCTTTAAAAATAAGTTTTCTAAGATAAAACATATAATATTACTCTACAGCTATTGGGCTGATAGCAGATGCTGTTAAATGCGGATTTTTCATTTTGTGTTTCAATATTCAAAAATACACGAATGTTTGTTCGAATTCGCTTCTTAACGAGAAATAAACAAGAAAATTATATGAAATTAATTAAGTAATTAGCTTTTAACGGAACTTTAATTAAGAACTTTATTGATTTCATGAAAACTTGTTTAGAAGAAGTATTCCCATGTCTTGTCTTAGAAAACTAATCTTTAACATCACTCAAACTTTTGTTTTAATTAGTTTACACGTATATCGTACATTTAGAAAAATAATAGTGCCAAATGTTGAAAAACTATCTCTTTCATTTAAGCCTAAATGTGATCACTTAAAAGGTAAAAATATTCTTGATTTCTAAGTCGTCTGTCGGTAAGCAACAATAAAATGATTTGTAAACAACTTGTAGATTGCTTTCGTGCTTTGCCGTGTGCTCGAGGAACCACACACACAAAGGAAAAAGAATTATAGTTTGTAGGTCATATATAATTCTAAAACGAAACTAAAGTCATCTTTTCTGGCATACATATATATATGTTCTAACTATAGAACTTCTCAAACACAGAAAATAACTTATCTTGGATGAATAATGTACCCTCACTCTACTTTTATATAATTTACTCCATTCCAAGTCTCTTTTTGATGAATTCCGCCACAATTTCCTGGGGACGGTGTTGCCACTCTTCTAGAATCTCTTTAGGTGTGTTCACTTGGTCACCCTCGAGACGATTCAGCAGGGCCACACAAACTACTGCGCCTACAACACACACAAAATATTATCTTCAGATGTTAAGGCCAGGTGCAGGTAACACTAACAATTAAAGGAATATTTTTAGTTTTGTCCACGTCACGTGATCAACAAAACTGAAAAGTTATAGTTGTGTTGAATTCACACTAGCGACTTATAGTTCTGTCCAGGTCGCATAGGCCTACCAACCAAAAAAAACCTTTGATTTTCAGGAATAATTTTGGCGTAAAACGTTCCATTTCTTATTATCTACACCTTCTTCATTGACACTTTGATTGAATAATACACATTAAGAAAATTGCCCAGATATATAACTATGACCTTGACCGGCCTCAATGACATTCTTTACTTTCACGTAATAAATATGGCAACACCATAGAAATCATGGTTTCTTCGTAAGTTAAGGATTTTGTTTAACCATATAGTTGAGGTCAATTAAATTTAAACTTTTAAATACATGGATGAACTAAAAGAAAATCAAGTATGTTTTTATAACACCTAGGGAAAAAATTATATTTTTTGTTTTATGTTTTCCATGCTGCTTTGCTGTTCGGTTTTAATTGTGCTTGTTTATGCCATCTACTGATGAATTAAAAACTATTTAAAAAGTTACAATAATATGCGAGTAATTATTTCAAACAGTTTTTACTAAGACAAAGTTGTTTAGAATGACTTGCTAATTTAGGCAAAATGTGTGGCACCACCTTTTGAGACTTTGAGGAACTAATGCTGTGAAGTTGCCAATAGTCAAGTTTCTCATGCGTGAGTTTGGAACAGATAATAATGATTATATATTTCTGCTTCGTAACACGTTAAACTTAAAACTTTATACATGGTGGACTTACGTGAGTGTGTTTCAAAAGTTTAAAAGCAATGGAAACAATTTCTGCTTCCATCAAGCTTGTAAAAATACTCGGAACTTGAGCCACACTCCATTCTGTAACTTTGTTTTTCTAGTGCTATTTGTAGACATTAAACATTATTGGTAGACAGTGACAATAAGAAAAACAGAATTATTTTATTCATGTATCTTTTGTAACCAAAAGTAGGACATCTTGTTACAAACGGTTGGATTAAGAGTTTAAACTACTCAGGGTTGTCTCTTGTTACAAACGATTGGCTTAAGTACTTAACAAACCGTCTAGGGTTGTCTCTTGTTACAAACGTTTGGCTTAAGTACTTAACAAACCGTCTAGGGTTGTCTTTTGTTACCAATGGTAGCAAGTCATACACTTAACAAACTGTCTAGGTTTGTCTTTTGTTACCCATGGTAGTGGGTCATACACTTAACAAACTGTCTAGGTTTGTCTTTTGTTACCCATGGTAGTGGGTCATACACTTAAAAAACTGTCTAGGGTTGTCTTTTGTTACCAATGGTAGCAAGTAATACACTTAACAAACAACCCAGTACTGTCTTTTGTTACCAATGGTAGCAAGTAATACACTTAACAAACTGTCTAGGTTTGTCTTTTGTTACCAATGGTACCAAGTAATACACTTAACAAACAACCCAGTACTGTCTTTTGTTACCAATGGTAGCAAGTAATACACTTAACAAACAACCCAGTACTGTCTTTTGTTACCAATGGTAGCAGGTCATACACTTAACAAACAACCCAGTACTGTCTTTTGTTACCAATGGTAGCGGGTCATACACTTAAC